GCTGCAGATGACAAACCATTTGAAGATTTTGAGACTGAACTTGTGAAAGTCTTGGTACTGGTAAACGGGGGCTTGCCCCCTGAACCTGATGGTTTAGGTGAAGTTGGAATAGGGACTGATAGAACTGGTTTGTTGTTCTTAATGGTAGAAATCTATTAAGTGTGCAAATATAGGAATGTGAATTGAAAATACAAATATTTCAGGAAGGTTAAAAAGTTTGATTGCTGAAGTACTCACAGCCTTATTTAATTTCTTCTTGCATGTTGCGCAATACCAAGCTAGACGTGGATCATTGACAGGAATCTCAGCTTCGTTGATCGGTGGCTGGTGGCACTCCTGATGATAAAGGCCATGGCACTCCTGGCATTCAACCAGGCGGTTTCCATCGCTCTGCATCATCTGTCTGATGGTGATAGTAGATCGTCAAATTCACTTTTGCAATACATGTGGATTCGTAAAACTAACATCACCCAGATTTGAAAACAAATAATTACCTGCAGACAACACACAAAAGATCCTCCTCTAATATATTTAACTCATTCAATTCATTCTCTGGTGAATTAGTAGACTCTTCAGATTCTGGGTCATCAATATTTTCTGTTGGACTTTGACTTGGACTGGTCATATTGTCGTTGGTAAGAGGTTCTTCAACCATGAGCTGAAAATCATAAAAACTTTGTCTTGTAACTAAAACAGAGACCGCTTCTTTTATGATGTCTAGTATTTAATGACATTTTTTTTTTTTTTTAGCTTTTTGAAGCAATCATAACTTTAGTAATCATACCTTTTTAGGGAGAATTGAGGTCAAAGTTTTGTGAGTTCCATACTTCTGCTTTAATGCTTCATCAAGCATTGCTCTCATTTGCTCAGCAGAATCTGGCTCATCACTGAACAGCAAACGATATGCTTTAGAAAACGTTGGATCTATGCCAATAGTGGTCCTGGAGGAAAATGAATCATTACTCATACTACTTTTAAAAGACAACAAACAGTAGAGCAACTAAACAAATTTCGGATCAGGTTTTGGTATTGTCTCCCTGTACCCTGACAAGCAGTTCCCTAAAACAAGGAAGCTGAAAAATAATGATAGCCTAATCTTTTATTTAAAAATCACAAGTTTTTGGTGATCTATCGCTGTTCCCATTTTGGAGATATGGCAATTAAAGTTAAGACGTGAATTTGATCAAAATTAGGGACACATAAATCAAACTCAGATCACTAAAAATATGTTCAGGGGCAAACTCTAACCACACCTCTGAAAAACAATTTCAAAACATCTACCAATTGTTTCAATGCTCAAAATTTGTTTTTAACACTGTCCCGACAGATTAACACATTAATTGCAGGGCATTTTTGGTGCCTGATTTTACATGGAAGAGTAACCACATAGTGGTCATTCCACACTCAGTGAGTTAAAGGTATAATCACAATGTTGTTTCTTGTTAGAAAAGGGGTCAATTCTTTACACCATAAACACTTTATTCTCTTGGTGTAAACTCAGTCTTATCAGTAAAAAGTTCAATTGCTTTAACGGAGCAAAGAAATTTTTTTACAAAAATTTGAATATTTCAGAACATGTAAGACACAACACACATATGATACAATATCAAAATCAATGTCAGTAGATACAACATCAATTATAATTTAGAAGAAATTTCATTATAAAAAGTTGTAAAAGAAACTGACTTTTAAATAAAACAATAGATATGATTTAATAATCAGAGGCAATTCAGGAAAATACTCTAGCTATTTCAAAGCTGTATCACATCACCATTAATATACTACATAAATTATGTTTAAGAACACTGAACACTTGTAGTTGAGAACAGTACTTGAGAAACAACAAAAGGCAAATTGCAATAACTTTTACCATTTTGCAGCAGGTCAAAAAAGAACCTCATTTCCATATAATAATGTAAAGCATTTCTGAATGAAACCACAAGGGTAGAACTATAAAACTGAGTTCAAATGAAAAACACATACATTAACAAAAAGTTTTCTGCCTACTACATGGCTTGTCAACGTCTGGCAGGTCTGAGAAATATTTTTTGTCGTATCTCGCAGAATTGTCATCACACAACGGCAAACGGCAAGTAGGGGTTGAAATTTCGCCCCGCCTAGGCTCTAAACCCTACATGAGACCGCATTCATAACCACACAATGCAAACATTTCTCCCTTGACTGTGACCAGCCAAGAATTCACTTACATTTTGGAATGGTTTGACACTTGTTCAGCCTTGGGAAAATGTTGAACGACAGCTATACATCACAAGAACACATCACCACCCGGAGCTGGTGCTTTGGCTGGCTGGGCTGGTTTTCGGCAGACAGCACCTTGCAAGAAAACAAAAACAAAAACAAACGGGAACATGTTTGCTTGCTACCAACAGCGATTACATATTGTGTTCGACATTATAAGTGTAATATTTAAAACCATGGTAAAAAACAAAAACAAAAGTGTTTTTTTTAATTTGAAAAGAGGTATTAACAGGATTCAAGGCGTAGGCATTGAACGCATATAGCATTTTTTCCCAACTGTACGTTGTGTCAGGTTGGTAAACTCGTATACCCGTAGCAGAACCACGTCTCGAGATCTAGGAGGCGCTGCACAGTTGCTTCTGCTCGCCAAGTCCTTCTTCTCGGTCAAAGGCAAATCTTTCCGCACCGAACGCCAATCTTCTACGTAGTTCTTTTCCAGTACAGATACTTTCGGAATCAGTATGAGGATCGTCCGTGCCCTATTTAGCGCTGCCAAGGCGGCAAAGCCCGCCGAGCCATGTGAGTCAGGATAGAACCAGGGTCATGGACAGCTGTCCATAACCTCTCCGCCCAGAAGTTTCATCTCAACTTTTTGTCTTATTATGACAATCTGTCAGTTGCTCTTTTCTTTTTTAAGATCCTGAAACTTCCTTGTGTATCAATTAATTTTGTTCTTACCGTGATTGTCATATTTTGATTCTTAGCAGTTCTTTGCGTACTGCTTAAACATGGGCTCTGTTGGCTTAGGCACGACTTATCATTGAAGTACTATGTTCGTTTCCTTATGTCCGTTTTACAGTTTGATTTATGCTTTCAGCCTCATGGGATAGGTTCCTATACAAGGCAAATGGTTTCAACAAGTTAGGTAACGTATCAAGTGTTGAAAGTAGAGGTCTGGCTGTGTAAAGTATTTCGCAAACTTGAACCCTCCTTTTGGTCTTTAGGTCTTGTATCAGATGATTTACTGAGTGAGCTCGATGATGCAGTGGTAGAGGCTTTGAAGCGACTTCCGGAAGAGACTATCAACCAGAGAATCTTCCGTCAAAACCGAGCTGCATTGCTTTCCTTGAACAAAACCATCCTGCCTGAGGATCAGTGGACGAAAATAGAGGATGTGAGCTGATTAGTGCTGCTTTTTGCTTAGTGAACACTATCTTGCAGAATTTTTATTGGTTTTGGTTTGTGTTTCAGGATAAGCCATACTTGATGCCACATGTTCTTGAAGTTTGGAAGGAGGCTGAAGAAAAAAAGACCTGGGAGGACAAGAACCCTATTCAGGCCCTCTAAATCTAATTTCATCCTAGAAAACTTTGAATATTAAATTGTCTCCACATTTTGTGGCCAGCTATATGAATGAATGTAAATATTACTGTACATGATAGTGGTTTTATTCAGCCTGTAAAACCGTTAAATAAAAAAGTGCACCAAGCTCAGCTATCAGTGTTTCCACGTGACCATTAATTATAATGAAGGAAGGAAATTAATGCTCATAGATGTACCACCAAGTTATCAGCTTTTTAGCTAGTCTTTTCGTGTGGATAGAGGAGAAAATAACAAGGACAGAACCACAATAAAATAGAAAAGAAAAAATTTATTGTCTATATTCTATTAGAATTGAATAATCCACTCCCAAACATTCTTATTTGCCCATACGCTGGATGCTCCATTCTTGCTGGCACAGTGGGCAGCGATTATTCTGTTTCACCCACAGTGACATGCAGCAATAATGGAAGCTATGGTTGCATTCGCCCCACACGACGACGCAGTCCTGACGCCCACTGCCCGCCTTGCTTTCCGCCTGGCATCGAAGGCACGCATCTGCAACAAATCAAAAGAAAATATAAATTAATATGACCCCGACGTGATTTGAACACGCAACCTTCTGATCTGGAGTCAGACGCGCTACCGTTGCGCCACGGAGTCCGATGATCACAAGATCCCGAAGAGCGCGTCTTGGGCTTGCCCGATCTACCAGCCAGCGAGCAGCGCGCAGCATGGTTGGGGGAGGGGGAATGGAGCTAGCCGACAAGAGTAACAGTCGAGGCGCTCGCGCACCCCTCTCCCCGACCTGCGGCCCTGTGGCGCAACGGATAACGCGTCTGACTACGGATCAGAAGATTCCAGGTTCGAATCCTGGCAGGGTCGAGACCAAATTTTGAGAATTCGATTTGAATCCTACAAAAATTAAATTTTAGGCGTCTAAGTTATTATTTAGAGAGGGGCATACGTCTCAATCGCGAAATCAACTCAAAATGTAGCATACATTTTGAAGTTTCGAAACTGACTCCAGCAAATATTAGAGGCCAAGCGGCCGCCGCCGCCCCCAGCACACACACACACACAAGTCAGATGTCAGTCCCCTCGCCGATAAGCACAGTAGCCGAACTGTTTTGCTTTTGCTTGTGTCCAGGTTGGTGGTCTCAATGGCACCCGGCTGTACTGAACAACCGGTAGCGGGTATGGTATACACGTGCGTGCCTGCACGTACCGGGTGTTTCGGTGCACGCGTCGGTGCGGGCGCGGGCGGATTTTAGTCAAACTCACCCGGTACGCGCGCTCCACGTCAATAAAGCATTCCGGTAAATCTGAAATGCAGAAGAATGCAGGCAACAAGAAAACGGAAAGCAGCATGTTAAAGCATAGCGATTTCCGTTTTCTTCTTCCCTGCGTTCTTCTGCAGTTTAGCTTTACCGGATCGCTTTATTGCAGCGAACAGGAGTCTGGTTTCTGCCAGGTAGGCAACCCAATCGCACAGGTGCGAGACGGTGCAACATAACTACGGAAGGGGAAGTCCGCCCGACCACCGTGTCTTGTCTTGTAGAAAAGTTCTTCGTATGATGAGCAAATTGTGTTCGTTGTTTGTGTACATAACAGACCGTGTGATTCTGTCACGCCCTTTACAGTGTAGAGTGGAGGGTAGGGGCTGCAGGGTGGTCCGTCAGTTCATTTTTTTTTACCTGTGGGCTGGTGCGACTGAGTGCAATATTGCGTCAGGTTGCGTCGGACCGTGTGGTGGGCCCTGCCCCGCCCCACCATGTCGCTCAAGGCGAGCCCCTTGATGACGTCTCACTTGGGGGCTCGACAGTCTCCACCAATCAGCAGTCGGGACAGACACACCTCCATTCTCTGTCTCTCTCTGTCTCTCCCTCTCAGCCGGGCCGGTGACCGGACCGGTCGTCTTTTGCTACTGGGTTTACAACCGCGTGTTTTCACAAGTATCTGCAAGGACCTCCATTGGGCACTGGTGCCTGGTGCCAAAGACCTGCGCGATACGCTTCACTAGGATCTGCCTAACGAGCGAGACAAAGAACTAAAACGAAGTCCGTACCGTGTGTCAGGGCCACGACACAACAGTGTTGCGGATTTGCCTAGCCTAGGGGCCTAGGGGCCAACGGCGCCTTTCGGATGGAGCGAGTAGGCAAACCCGCAAACTGCTGTGTCGTAGCACTGACACGCGGTAGCGTAGCAGCTACTCCGTGTCAAAAAGAAAACAGCTCAGAAGACTTGTAAGACCCCGGACACTCACCATGATAACCCAGCACGACCCTCGCACCTCGGCTCGGACACAGGAAGGACTTACGTTTCTGACAGTGTCTGTCTACAGGGCGATGCAAATGGCACGATTTAAATTCACAGTATTGGCTGTACACAGCGTCGGCCTCCTTTTGTCTCGCTTGTAGCAGGGGTTTTGTGGAGCCGAACAGACGTCCATTCTCCTTCTTCTTCATAACCTTCGCATGACACGAGAACCCGCATTGTGCGAAAATGGAAAGGTTATCAGGGTACCTTTTTCCTATTTTGTTACACGGCGCCACCAGAAAGGGTGCGGCCGTGGGCTCTTCAAATAAATAGACAAACGGGATTTGCAAACGAAACCCGCATACTTTTTCTTACTCAAAATCTGTCTCTCGATCCATGAATATATATTCCAATAAAATCAAGCGAGACAGCAAAGGACATGACTTCGCTACTACACTCGAGTTTTGGCACGTGTCCAGTTCGTCTGCAAACCCAGTGCAGACGGCCAAGCTCCAGACTCTCCAACCAGACCGAGTGTGTTCGGAACCCAGGTGCATTTGTGTGGCCTACACAGCCTCGCCTAGCGCCAGAAGCGGTTAGGCATGACTCGCAGGCTCTGAATGTAGGATAGGCCACCCCCCAGTCATGCACTGCAAGGACAGGCAGGCGCTGCCACGGCACGGGAGCTGTTTGGGAATGAATCGCTTGTGGTCGCGGGCTCAGCTCTGTGCGGTGTGGTGTCGAATGGCAAGGTCGTGACGATAGTGAACAACAGCGGCCAAGAGGAGCCACCTAAAAACCTCGATTGAAGGGGGCAAAATAATACGGGAACAAGTTCAGGATGTTGCACGTTTCTACTGAACAAAGAGTCGACTTTGCGTCTTTTCTTCATTTTCATGCGATTTGTCAGAAAATTTCTAGAAACGCTGAAAGTTTGGTATGGTGACCACTTCACTTATGCCGTCACGCCCACCGCACTCAACGTGTCGTCCCGTGTTTCTGAGACGGACGGGTGGATGGAACATAAGCGAAAGGGAAATTACCCCCAGATCTGCTGTTCCCAAGAAAAGTGGCGCCATAACAGCTAAACGGGTCGGGTCACCCCAGAGCTGTCCGAAGCGGCTGAGCGCGCAGGACCTTGCGAGCGGCCAAACGTTAGCGCGCTCTATCGCCAGGCTGCCCGCGTGCAGACAATGTCATCAAAAAAGAGTGGAAGGGGGAGGGTGGCTAGCAGCCTTGGGATCCAACCCACAAAACACGAGCCAACCCACTCGGGGGATGGAGAGAGAGAGAGAG